AAAAACCAAAAAAAAAAAAAAAAAAAGAAAAAAGAAAACCACAATCTGAATGAATATGGATCCTAAAAAAATGCATTTGTGTCAGGTGGTGGTGGTGCATACCTTTAATCCCAGCGCTCAGGAGGCAGAGGCAGGCAGATAGATCTCTGTGAGTTCAAGGCCAGCCTGGTCTACAGAGCGAGTTCCAGGACTGCTGGGGCTATATAAAGAAACCTTGTCTTGAAAAACTAAAATAAAAATAAAAATTAAAAAGATGCATTTGCATGCTGTTTGGGATAAAATTGTGGTAAATAACTCACGTTGACTGCCTCAACCTAATGTTATGCAAATTTGGACATAAACTTACATCATTCATGGGGACGATACGGCATGCACCTGTGTCCACAGTTTCACTTTGGGCAAGTCTGGGTAAAAGGTAACCTTTTTTCATCACTTTGGACCCCCACCCCAAAATGCTTTGAACAAAAAAACTCACTAGCTAGCAAACCTAGCAAAGGGCCGATATGGAAAAAACAAAACAAACATGCACACTGCTCTGAATTTGATTTTGCTATTGTTGTTTTGTTTTGTTTTATTTTTCAGACAGGGTTTCTCCTTGTAGTTTTGGGGCCTGTCCTGGATCTCACTCTGTAGACCAGGCTGGCCTAGAACTCACAGAGATCCGCCTGGCTCTGCCTCCCGAGTGCTAGGATTAAAGGCATGCGCCAATACTGCCCGGCCCTGAATTTGATTACTTAAAAATCATGTTTAGGAACCATTGTGGAGAAATATAGCACAGATCTCATGTCTAACAGTTAGGAAGTTACAAAATTTAACAAGTATTTTCTTACTATTTGTGTGTAACAGGGCTTATTTCCCCCACCCCACCCCAGTACCCATCAAGTCAAGAAGTTTGGATGAAATATAAAGTCTTTAAGCCACACTGGAAGAAAATTCTGGCATAAGAATTATTTCTCAAAACGTCTCTATTTGAGCCAGTTTGACTAGAAAATCATACTTCAATGCCATTTAGAAGAAAACTCTTGCAAAGGATATGTAACAAAAAAAAAAAACCTCCACTATTTCAGTGAATTTGGTAAGAAGTTACATTTTCTGTATATCTTAGAAGATTTAGTTTCTATAAACCTCCACACTTGAGCAGATGTAAATGAAAATACCACATTTCTAGGAAATCTGGGAAGAAGTATGGTTTTTCCCTCCCCCAAGTCCACACTATTTACATAAATTTGGTTTTTAATTTGTTTCTTGATCACCCAGAGGGAAACCTGATAACACACTTGTGTCCCCCAAAACCCTACACTTGAGTGGAAGGATATGAACCATTCACTTCTTGATAGTTTGTAAATAATGTAGCACATCATTTATGAACACTTGAAAAACCTAAGGAAAAAAAAAAATCACATACCTGAGTCACTTCCTTTAAATCTGGCACAATTATTTCCTAAAGACTACAAGAACTAATGGATTTGGATGAAAAAATTCTAGTTTCAGGAGCATTTTGGAAGGAAAATATAGTAAGCTATTGTATCTAGATAATCCTAGTATGCAAATTTGGATGAAAAACTGCGCTTGGGGACTGAGGCCATGGCTTGGAGGCAAAGTGCAATGGCTGCTCCTGCAGAGAACCAGGTTCAGTTCCCAGCACCCACGTGGTGATGCACAACCATCTGCAACTCCAGTTATAAGGCATCTGATGTTGCTTTAAGTTCTGGCCTCCAGAGGCTCAAGCATGCATGTGATACATGCAGGCAAACCACCTAACTACATAAAATCAAAAAGAAAAGAAAAACCTAACTGCATTTCTGGGCCATCTTATAAAAATCGGGTATGCACATTGAGGTATAAAAACAACTTTTGGAGTGAATTTGGATGAAAAAGAAAATCACATTTCTCAGTTGGTATTGCTATTGGGTTTCCAATACTTTTAATGGAATTGCATTCCATTAGATAAAACCACATCCACAAAGTGGATTGAAGTATCAAAATGTTGTGGAATGACTGACTGCCTTGATAGTCCCTGAAAGCACCTGGCGTGGTTGCTGAGCCACACATTTAATCTTTCCGAAGCCTTAACAGCCTTGCAGCTGTGCCCTTGTCATCCAAGCAATGGATCTTTTGTGAACAGTGAGTTCACGATGCCTGAATGGTCCACTTCCCAAGAGAATGAGAATCACAGGTCAGGTTGCAGACTTGTAAAGAAGCCAAGTTTACTAGACAAAAGGCCACACGACATGAGACTGGAAAGGAAGTAGGCTGAGTCACTGTCCACGGGTCTTATGAAGTCCATTTTCCTACTTCATGGAAGTGTAAGAGTTCGGACAATGAATCCTTTCTTTGAAAATCTTCATTTTCAAAGGGAACAGAAAGGGTCAGACGGCTGCCCCAAATAGGCTTCAGAGTCAGGCTGCAGGGGCAGTTGGTGGTGGGCACATTTCATCTTCCTGTGTCTGCTAAGGTGAGACCTTTGCCTAAAGCCTTGCCCACAGGTCCTGCATGTGTGAGTCTCCTCCCTCTTGTGTGCCATCTGATGCGAGGTGAGGTGTGACTTCTGGACGAAGCTTTGACCACACTCCCTGCACACACGAAGCTTCTCTTCCAAGTGGGCCCGCTTATGTGTGATCAGAGCTGACTTGTTGGTAAAACCCAGGCCACACTGCCTGCACACGTATGGCTTCTCCCTCGAATGCTTCCTCTTGTGTCGGATGAGCCCAGCCTGGTGACTGAAGCCTCGCCCACAGTCTCGGCACACGTACGGCTTTTCCCCCGAGTGCGTCCTCTGGTGTGCGATGAGGTTTGACTTCTGGCTGAAGCCTCGTCCACACTCCTCACACACCATGGGCTTCTCCCCGGAGTGCGTCCTCTGGTGCCGGATGAGATTTGACTGCTGGCTGAAGCCTCGGCCGCAATCCTTGCACACAATAGGCTTCTCCCCTGAGTGGATGTTCTGGTGTCTGTTGAGGTGCGACTTCAAACTAAAGCCTCGCCCACACACCCCACACACGTATGGCTTCTCCCCAGTGTGCGTCCTCCTGTGAGAAATGAGGGTTGAATTCTGGCTAAAGCTGTGCCCGCAGACACCACACACGTAAGGCTTCTCCTTTGAGTGAGTCCTCTGGTGATTGACAAGGGTTGTCCTCTGCCTGAAGCACCGCCCGCACTCCTGGCAGGCATAAGGCTTCTCCCCTGAGTGCGTCCGCTGGTGGGAGATGAGGTTTGACCTGTCGCTGAAGCCAAGGCCACAGTCACCGCACACAATGGTCTTCTCCTCCAAGTGCGTCCTCTGGTGCCTCACAACAGCTGACTTCTGGCTGAAGCCTTTGCCACACTCCCTGCACACATACGGCTTCTCCCCTGAATGTGTCCTCTGATGGATGATGAGGTTTGACTTCTGGCTAAAGCCTCGTCCACACTCACCGCACATGTAAGGCTTCTCGCCCGAGTGCGTCCGCTCATGAATGATGAGTGTCGACTTCCGGTTAAAACCCCGCCCACACTCCCTGCACACCACGGGTTTTTCCCCAGAGTGTGCCTTCTGGTGTCTGGCAAGGCTCTTCTTCAGACTGAAGCCCTTCTCACACACCCCACACACATATGGCTTCTCCCCTGAATGGACTCTCTGGTGACTAAGCAGGTTCGTCATCTTGCGGAAGCCCAGCCCACACTCTCCGCAGTTGACCGTTCCAAATCCCAAGGCTTCTATCTGCTTCAGCAACTTCTCGGGCTCTTCCGTGCTCCCAGCTTGAGCTGAACTGGCCTCCACCCCTACCCATCTGATGCCATTCCGAGAGCTGACTGGGGGCTGCCTTTGGGGTGGCCTGCAGCGGGCTCCCAAACTCCTTTTCTTTGTCCTTCTAGATGGAGGCCTGGCACCTTCTCTCTCTCCACCTTCTGATTTCTCTCTGCAGGAGCTCTTATCAGAGACTCCCTGCTGCTTCTCCTGGGCCCCATGACAGAAGCCCCCTGGGTCACATAGGCGTGTGACGATCCATGGGGCGCGATCACTCAGCACGTGCTGCACAGGGAGTTTCTGATTGGTGAGATCTGGAGGGCAGACAGGACCGGGGCAGAGTTCCCGCTTTGCCTGTGCTGCAGAGACAAAAATGAGTCAGAATGGAGTCCTGACGGCCCAAACAATCCTACCCAACCTAACAGTGACTGCACCTTGTCCTTCAGTGTCACCCCCAAGGCCTCCTCTACACTCACCTTGTCCTTCAGTGCCACCCCCAAGACCTCCTCTACACGCACCTTGTCCTTCAGTGCCACCCCCAAGACCTCCTCTACACGACTTCCTCCCTAGCCCATCACCACATCTCACATCTCCTACCCCATCCGGATAAGCACTGCAGACGCGAGGCTACCAAAAGCACCACAGTTAACAGAGATGTGAATCAGGCCAATACACAAGTCTCCACACAGTTACTACTACAATTACCCCTGACTCACAACCACACCGAGACAGAAACTACGTCCGCTGTGTGTACTGTGTAGCTGTGCTTTTGACAGAGAGCTATTAACAAAACCCACGTGGAAACATCTCCTGACGTTCTGGAGGATGAAGTAGGCAGGCTGAGAAAGCATCATCCCAACTTGAGTGCAAGACAGCACAGGAGATGAGTGGGTAGCCCAGATGGTGTTAGTGGGTCGAGGTGCCTGCCACCAAATCTGCACACGTGTTAGGAGAGAACTTAGTCCACGAGTTGTCCTCTGGCCTCTGTACGGGTACCACAGCATGTGAATGCCCCGCTCCAGCCAACAAGTGTTTTAGAGAAGAGAAAGAACGGTTCAACAGAAATGCATGACACACTTGAACCAGGGTGTCCCCACTCGACAGACACCGATCAGTGGACTACTTTGTGAGAATTTCTACAAGGCAGGGAACAGCACAACCATAGTTAAAACAATAAACATGGGGGTTAAAAATAGAGCTGAATGGAGCTGGAGAGATGGCTCAGCGGTTAAGAACACTGACTGCTCTTCCAGAGGACCCGGGTTCAATTCCCAGCACCCACATGGCAGCTCACAACTGTCTGTAGCTCCAGTTCCAAGGGACCTGACACTCTCACAGAGACATACATGCAGGCAAAACACTAATGCACATGAACACGAAATAAAATAAATAAGTTATTTTTTTTTAAAAAAAGAAAGAAATATAGCTGAATGATAGAGTGCTTGCCTAGCTCTCACAAGACTTGGGTTGATCCCTAGAAACATAGGGGGAGAGAGAGACAGGCAAGCAGGCAGGCAGAAAACACGAGGGGATTCTGAGGGGGAGAGGAAAGACTGGTAGGCTGAGGCAGGAGCATCAGGAATTTGAGGCCTGATATACACATCGAGTTTAAGGGCAGCTGGACCACATAGCAAGAGCATGTTTATAAGAACAAAACTACAGGACACACTGCCTAGGTGTCAACAGGACCAAAGACAACCCTGGACGCGGGTCTAACAGCAGAGACAGTTTGTGACAAAGAAGGGCTAGGTCCCAAGAAGACTCAGCACAAACATCAAATGACCACTGAAGTTGAAAAGAAACCAAAACAAAACCCAGAAAACAATTCTCTACACTACACCTCTTGTTGTACTATGTGATCGGTGCTGGTTCTGGTCAGCTGAAGGCAATCAATGACCAACCAATTTGAGCAATTAGTACAGATCTTACTGAATCTGCCTAGACACTCTTTTCCTGAGCCAATGCACAATCACAGTTATCAGAATTACACTATTCTACCCTATACCAAATGCAGTTTTCAGTCATAAACGAATTAGCACAATCAGAACAACTGTCTTAATTATTAAAGTAACCACCCTTTCCTAGCATGAAAGTCTTTTACTCTTTCTACATGGCAGACTACTAAAGAAATACCTTCCCTTTTATCTTTCAGTATGTCATAAGTAACTAGGTACAATTCTTTTTTAGTGAAACTTTTTATGTGTCCGAATGCTTTGTCTGCATATATGTATGTATGTGCACCACATGTGTGCCTGGTGCCTGTAGAGTTCAGTGATGGTGAGCCACCATGTGGGTGCTGAGAACTGACCTGGGTCCTTAGCAAGTACAACTCCTAACTGCTGCGTCATCTCTCCAGCACCTGGTGCAATTCTTTCCCATCAGTGGCTCCACTGGTTGTCACTACAGGTGTGATTGACAGTCTGGGAGCCTCTGATCCAACCCGATACCCATCCCTCCCCAGCCCCACTTCTATGGAACACCTTGCCTAGGCAGCCAGCAGTGCCTCAGGCCTGTTTCTTGGGTGTATCCGAAGCCTGGCTGCTTTTTACCAGCTTTGGTTTGTGTAATCTAAGGTGTTACACAACTCACATCATAGCTGAGTCTGGGTTTCTATTTATGGCCCTATTTATGGTCTTCTAACTTCTGTGGGTACACACAAAGTGGCTGGCTTTTATTTGTAGTCAACACAACTCAGAATTAAGCTGGCCCCTTCAAAGAAAGTTCAACATTGTTTTAACATCTATATGAAGTGACAGGAAGACAAATTTCAATTTTCCACTGGATGATCTTTTCCACTGACTGTGAATCTGCCGTTATGTGTACACTCTGGACTATTTAGTCTCAGGACAAATGGAACACAAAATATGATCAGGTCAACAAATTAGTTTATAAAGTATCTTAAGTCTACAGGTGCTCCTGTATTTATAGTTTACACAGATTTAATCAATACTGATATAAGTTTAAATATAAATATAAGTTTAAAAAAAAACTCAGTCAGGCATGGTGGTGCATGACTTTAATCCCAGTACTCAGAAAGCAGTGGCAGGAGGCCAAAAGGCTTCAAGGAAAAAGAGACAAGAGACCCCAGGAATGCTCCTGCATGAAGACAGGGTGGCCCTATGGGTCAAATCCTCAGTTCCTCATCTCTGCCTCTTCTCTTCAGCATCCTGGGCCGCTATCAGCCCTGTATCCCATATGCTCAGGCCTTTCCCACTCACCTTGGCAGGCCACCTGTGGACATGTTCTCTCCTCTTGCCATGTTTCTTTCCCTTGCTCTAGCTGGGTGATGAGTTTTGGTTTTGAAAATGGGATTCCTGCTCACCAGAAAAGAAAACAGGATGGCTGTAGGTTAGGTGTAGAAGGAATTCTGACTTGGCCTTTGGAATAGACTCAAAAGCAAAGACTGAGGGAGGAGCTTCAGGGGGCAGTGCCAAGGGTTAACAGTTACTTGAGATTATCGGGACAGTGAACTCAGAGGAGGATACACTGATTCTACTCCATGCTGGGGGGGGGGGGCGCAAAACTCTATTAAAGTGAATCCTGACTCTCAACCTGATTGGGTAGAGAAATGTCTAGATCAGTAAAGCGCACCGTTCAGACTGTCTATGAGAGGTTCCAGAGAGGACTCACTAGGAAGAAAGACCTGCCTTGAAAGGGGGTGGCATCACCCCATAGGCTGGGCCTGAGTAGAAGAGAGATGGGGGAAAGTCCACACATACAGGTTTACCCTCCTCCCTCTCTCTGCTTCCTAGCTGCCATGAAGTATACCGCTATCATCTATCAAGCCCCACTACCACAACACACTGGAACTGTGAGCTGAAATACCTAAGTCCTCCTTCTGAGCATGGTGACACACGCCTTTAATCCCAACACTTGGGAGGCAGAGGCAGATGGACCTCTACAAGTTTGAGGACAACCTAGTGTATGTAGTGAATTCTATGACAGTCGGTGGTATATAGTGAGACCCTGCCTCAAAAACAAAAACAAGAAAAGTAATTCCTTTAAGTTGTTTTCATGGGTGTTTGTCACAAAAATGAAAAGTCTGACACACCTGTCTTATTTAAACCCAGACTGGAGGGAAAAGCCTAGAGATGCAGAGTACACACACACACACACACACACACACACACACACACACACACACACACACACACTCTGACTGATGTTCAACTCTACAAAATGAGACTTCCCAAGAAAGCAGAGAACAAAATGTCTTTACTCATGTCAAACAAGCCAAAAAGTAAGATGGCTGCTACAAGTGCAGCCTAAACTTCTGTGTATATATGCACTAATTGAGAACGTCAGTCCTGAGAGACACTCGGCTTACCCAGAGAGACCAGGTTGCTGTAGTTCTCCAACATCACCTCTTTGTACAGGGACCTCTGAGCAGGGTTCAGCAGGCTCCACTCCTCCTGGGAGAAATCCACAGCCACATCTCTGAATGCCATGTGCACCTGTAACACAGAACGGTCCTGCTTGGCCCCAAGCCAGCCCTGATGTGGCACAGGGTGAGGGCACTGAGAGGCTACCCCAGCAGAGGCAGTGAGAAAGACTGCATCTGCGCTGGCTGCCACCCTGATGCCATATGATCTGAGACCTCTAACCCCTGTATCTACCTAGTCAGTACCATTTACGAACCTAGAGATTCAAAGTTCTGGTAGGCTAGTTTGTTCATGCAAAAAGTAAAACTGTAAGTCCTGAGAATTTTAAATCTAGCAGAAAAGTCAACACATAAAAATTAAACAACAAGCTGGGTGGTGATGGTGAATGCCTTTAATCCCAGTCTCATCTCTGTGAGTTTGAGGCCAGCCAGGTCTACAGAGCAAGTTCCAGGCCAGCCAGGGCTACACAGACAAACCTGTCTCAGGGGAAACAAACAAACAAACAAACAAACAAACAAACAACAACAACAACAAAAAACAGTAAGGCCTAAGAGCCTTTCTGAGTTACTGGGTTTGTTTTTCAGTTTTTATTTGTGTAGATGCACGCATGTCTATGTGTATGCACATACATATAGGTGTACACAGAGGATGCACACAAAGGGCATCTGGTCTCCTGGACTTAGAGTTACAGGGAGTGTAAGCCACCCTAAAGGTGCTGGTCCTCTGCGAGAGCAGTGTACTCTCCTAACCATGTAGCCACTCCTCCAGTCCCCAGACTTTCTAAGTTTTAAAAATGTAAGAGACCAAATAGTCTACCACATGATATTCATGTTGAAGCATCTGAAATTCATACAGTTCCATAACACCAAAGCCTAAAGAAGCTACAACTCAGCCCGAGCTGAGAGGCACAGAGGGGTGGTGAGGTATCTGAGCCGCAGTCCCCGAGTTTCAGGCCCAACTCTGTCATAAACCAGTGCTTCAGCTTTCTCACATGGAAAACATGGCTAATGGCAATTAAACCCACACACACTGGGTGCCACAGTGGGACCTCTTGCTATTCATGTCCACCCCATTCTCCTGTACCCAGATTCATTCTCCTCGGCTCCTTGACTGAGAACATGCTGTGAAGAGGTTTGCTAACCCCGGGCCCAGGTACTCAGTCCTTTGGACAGAAAGGAACTGAGGGAAAAACAAGGCACTAGTATTCCAGATAAGGCTATGGGGAGCAGAGCCTAGGGCATCCTAGGCACAGGCAGAGGGAAAAGGGAGGCCCAAACCATGGGCAGGGAGAGCTGACTATCCAGAATGGAACCAAGTAAGTGGAGTGATTAACTTTTACTGTGGTAAAATATACACAATGTGAAAATCACTGTTTTACCAGTAAGCATGCAGCTGAGTAGCATCAAGGGTGCTGCCAACCATGGCCACTTCTCTCTCCACAACATTCTCAGCACTTCCCTGCAGAAACTCTGTCTTGAAAAGTAACTTCCCAACTCTAGTAAAGGCCATTTCTGTCCCTATATATAAAGGGAGTCACACAATGTGTGGCTTATTTCAGTTAGCGCACCTTTAAGGCTCATAGAAACACACACTCTTGTCATTCCTCTGGAAAGCTAAGCAATATTTCACTGCATTTGTATGTTACATCTCTTCTGTAATTGATGGACATAGCTTCTAGCTACTGTGAATAATTGCTATGTACACCCAATATCTGGGTTCTTACCTTCTTTTTGTTTGTCTTGTTTGTTTTTTCAAGACAGAGTTTCTCTGTGTAAAATCTCTGGCTGTCCTGAGACTTACTTCATAGACCAGGCTGGCCTCAAACTCACATAGATCCACCTGCCTCTGCCTTCCAAGTGCTAGGATTAAAGGTTTGTACCACCACCACCTGGCACCTTCAATTCTTTTGAGTGCATGCCCAAAAGTGGACTTAACTGGATCAAATGGTAATTCTGTGTCCACAGTGCCACATCCATTTCATTAACAATGTACAAAGGGCTCTAGTTTTTCCATACCCTCCCTAAAACCATTACTGTGTGGTTTATATGTATGTTGGTGGGGAGGGGGGGGGGAGCGTGCATTTGTGTGTATGGAGGCCAGACAAATATTTATCTATTTATATGAAAAGATCTCACTATATAACCTTGGCTGGCCTGGAACTCACTATGAAGGCCAAGTTAGCCTTGAACTCACAGAGACACACCTGCCTCTACCTCTTGAGTACTGGGATTACAGGTATATGCCATCACTCCCAGCCTACTCTTCCTATTTTTTGAGTCAGGATCTCTTGATGAACCTAGAGCTCATTCATCCACTAGGCTGGATGACCATGAGCTCCAGGGACCCACCTAGGCCCTCACCTCCCTACCAGTGCTGTGCTTACAGATGCATGTTGCTATGCCTAGCTCTTTACATGGGTGCTGGACATCTAAGCTCAGGTTCTCATGCCTGTGCAGCAGGCACTTTGGCAACTGAGCCATCTCCCCATCCCCCATCCCTTTTTAATAATAGACATGGAGGGAGGGCTGGAGAGATGGCTCAGCAGTTAAGATCACTGGCTGCTCTTCCAGAGGTCCTGAGTTCAATTCCCATCAACCACATGGTGGCTCACAACCATCTGTAATGAGATCCGTGCCCTCTTCTGGCCTGCAGGCATACACGCAGGCAGAACACTGTATACATAATAAATAAGTAAATCTTTTAAAAAATAATAATGATAGACATGGGAATAAAGTCTTTACGTGCATCTCAATACTGGTTACTTTTTATGTGCTTATGTACTTTTTATGTGCTCACTGGCTGGCAAGTGTGTATACTAGGTATCCTTTAAAAGATCATGGGTTACAGACTTGACCCCAGAAAGGTACTACTGGGAGGGAGCAGAACCTTTAAGAACTGAGTCAGTGGGAGCATGCCCTCAAAGAGAACTCTGAGACCACGGCCCATTTCACTTCTCTCTGGTCCCTGGTTCTCCATGTAAGTGGTTTTGTTCCCCCATTCACTCCATGGCCATTTGCTGCCTTACTACAAGCCCAAAGCCACCATAGACTAGAACCTTCCAAACCCTGAGCCAGAATGAAGCTTTAATTTGTAAACCGATTACTTCAGGTATTGCACTACAGTGACAGAATGATAATATGTTGGTCACATCTGCATTTTCTTTGCAAAAATGCTGACACATACCATTTGAACACACTGAATCTTTTGTTATATGTCCTTTCTATATTCTTGACATTCCTTCTCAGTTAGGTAACTTACAAATAGGATTCTTTCCTTTTGATGAAAAATGTAAAGTTCTAATGAAGCCCAGTATTTCTACTTCTTTTCCTTTTGTTGTCTGTGCTTTTGATACCATTTCCAAGAAATCACCAAGTCCAGTATCCCATGCACCTGTTTCCTTTCAGAGGTATACAGTGGGGCTCTCATGCTGGGTCCTGACTCCCTCCCTTCCCCTGCACATGGTGCAAGCTAAGTGTTCACCTTCTCTTTTCTGACAGACCTTGTCTTTTCCACACTGGATGCTTTTGCACTCTTGCTGAAAACCATTTGGCCACATGTGCCAGGGTTGACTTTGATGTCTTCTCTTCTGTCCATCGGTCTATCTATACCAGGACTGAAGCTGGGATTAGAATTACTTTCTGGAAATTCATGCAATCTACAGCTGAAGTCCTTCAGCCTTGTTCTCTTTCATGATGGCTCCAGGTACTCAGAGTCCCTCAGATCCCACATGAACTTTAGGGTGAACTCTATTTCTGTAAAACAAAAGTCACTGAGCTTTTGATAGATGTTTACATTGAGCCTGAATTATGGTTTCAGTGGTATTTAAGTTTTCAGTCCAATAGCACATGGCACCTTTCCATTTATTTGTGACTTCTTTCGTTTCTTTTTTCTTTTTTCACTCTGGTGGTACTGAAGATTGAAGTCAGATTCTCATAAACGCTCATAAATTCTTATAATTCTTTAAATGTTGAACCATCATCTTTACATCCCAAGAATCGATCTTTCCTAGATTACATCATTATTTTAATGTGCTTTTCAATTCCGTTAGCATTTTCTTGAAGGGTTTTTTTTTTTTCTCTATTTCTGAGATACACCCCAAGCCCTGTTTCTTTAATTCTTTCAGCGATGTTCTTTCATTTTCATATCCTTGGTTAGTTCTGAGTATTTTACTCCTTTTGATGCATAGAGTTTTTTTTCTAATTCTCTGTTAGTGTTGCTCATTGTTAGTCTACAGATATCAAATTGGTTTTGTGTGTTGTTGCTATAAATTAGTTCTAATAGGTGTGTACATGCATGTAATCTATAGGATCTTCAACATGTAAGATTACACCATTTCTAAAGAGGTAATTTTATTGTTTTCTTCTGAAATCAATGCTTTGTGTTTCTTTTTCACTGGCTAGAACTTCTGATACTCTGTTGATGCAAGTGCAAAAGTGGTATTCCTTTGTTGTTGTTTTTTCAATCAGGGTTTCTCTGTGTATCCCTGATTGTCCCGAACTAGCTCTGTAGGCCAGAGTGGCCTTGAACTCAGAGATCTGCCTGCCTCTGCCTCCCAAGTACTGGGATTAAAGGTGTGTGCCACCACCGCCTGGCAAAAGTGGGCATCTTTATCCTGTCCCTGTGTTATGGCTATCTAGCCTTTCATCTTGGCATACACACACTGTGAGAGTTTCTCATACGGCCTCTCCTTTAAGTAGTTTTCATATAAAGGCATTTAATTTGTCAAGTACATTTCTGCATCCAGCAGAATGATCATGTGGCTTTTCCTTCAACTAACAATGTGATGTGATACACTGATTTTTTTTAATGTTGAACCATCATCTTTACATCCCAAGAATCGATCCTTCCTAGAATACATCATTCTTTTAATGTGCTTTTCAATTCCGTTAGCATTTTCTTGAAGGGTTTTTTTTTCCTTTCTTTTTCTCACTGTAACAAATCTATAGTTTTCTTTTGGTGTCCTTGTCTGGTTTGGGCACCAAGAGTAATACTGACTTCAAAGAATAATTTATCCAATTTTCCATATTTGGGGGAAAGTGTGAGGGCTGGCATTAGCTCTTCTTTAAGTGTTTGGTAGGATTTCCCAGTGAAGCCACCAGGTCACAAGCCCTTCTTGGTGAGCAGGGCTCAATGACTGAGTCAAGTCTTAGTTGGGATGTCCATTTCTTTGCTACCCCCTCTTCAAAGTCTGTTTCATTTGGTGGTGCACAGTTTATAGTACTCTTATAATCCTCTTAATTTCTACCTCATTTTTCATTTCTTATTTGAATAATTCACATTTTAATATAGTTATAAATTTTGATGCCTCTGGAGAACTTTAAGTTTGATTAATTTTCCTTTTTTTGGGGGGGGGTTGTTTTTAGACTTGCTATGTAGCCCAGGCTGGCCTACAATTTAAAGCAAACCTCCTGCCTCAGCCCTCCAAGTACTGGAAACATTGGTATGCACCAATAAATCCAGCCCCTCTATTTCATTTGCTTTTATTGTAATATTTATTATTTTTGTTATTTATTACTTTTGGTTTAATAGTTTCATTTGTGTTCCAGCTCTCTCTAAGTTGTTCCCCTAGACTCTTCTTTTTCCCTGTGTCTTTTTAAGGACAGGTTCTCATGTAGCCTAAGCTGGCTTCGAATCTGCTACGTACTTGAGAATGACTCTGAACTTCTGAGCTCTCTGCATCGCCACACAGGCTGGAGTTACAGGTTTGGGCCACCATACTTGGATTATGTGGTGCTGAGGATCAACCCAGGGCTACTTGCAGGCTAGAAAAACATTGTGTCAACTGAGCTGCATTCCAGGCCCTAGTTGTCGTCTTCTCCTCCTCCCCCTCCCCCTCCCCCTTCTCTTCTTTTGCTTGTTTGTTTTTTTCCAGACAGGGTTAGTCTGTGTAACAGCCCTGGCTGTCCTGGAACTCACTTTGTAGACCAGGCTGGCCTCAACTCACAGAGATCCACCTGCTTCTGCCTCCCGAGTGCTGGGACTAAAGGCGTGCACCACCACCTCCTGGCCTCCTCATCTCCTTAAATCTAAGCACTATGCTTCAAACTGTTGCTCAACATTGATTCCACCATATAATTTGTGTTTTTGCCTTCACTTGTCTCTAGAAGTTTCTGATTTCCTCTTTCACACATTGGTTTGGATATACTATTTAATTTCCAGGTATGTGAGGATTTTTTGGTTTTCCTTCTGCTGCTGGTTTATAGTTTTATTTCACTGTGGTGTATGATATATACCTTTCTAAGATTACTGGTAATCTGTGGTGCAATGTAATGCATATGGATGCTGAAAGCTATCCATATGCACTTGAGAGGGCAATATCCGGTTTCATTGGGATGTCTGTTAGATCGAGTTGGTTTACCCTTGTTCATCTTTATGCACTGTGATCAAAGCAGAACTACCAATCTGCTGCTTCCTGCCCTCGGAGATGGACGATGAGATATCGCTGATAGTCTCATTTAGGATCCCATGTACTCAGGGTTGCTTTCTTCTTGCTCTTTTCCAAATAGTCTCTGAAGTCTGGTTTAATCCTTTCACTATCCTGTGTCCCGGTGTAGATGTCCCAGCCTGTCCCACCTTGTGCTGCTCAGCGCCTTGTCTGTTCATATTCATGCCACCCAGCAAATGTGAGGCCACTATTTCCTCAAATGCCTCTCCTCTTCCCCTTTTCCCACAGTGGCCAGGAGTGGTGGCACACACCATTAGGACCTAGCACCTGGAGGCAGAGGCAAGTGGATCTCTATGAGTTTGAGGCCAATGTGGTCTACACAGAGAATTCCAGGTCAGCCAGGGCTATATAGTGAGTCCCTGTCTCAAAAAAACAGAAAACAAACAAAAGAGCTGATGATAACCCTACCAGTGTATATTGGTTTACCTGGTGTCCCAATAGATGCCTAAGTCTCTGTTTATTTTCTGTTGATATTTTTCATGGTCCCCAAACTTAATTTCAGTGGTGCTATCTGCAGTTCCAGTGACTCTTTCCTGTTGCCTTCCAAATCTTTCTAACTTCCCAGTTCTTACGTAGCCACTGTAGCTGGCGGAGATGAGATCAGTAACAACCACCAGAACACATACCCTTGACACCTGGATAGAAGGCTCCCAGCAGCTATATGCCAGCTGCTGCAGTAACATGGACACAGCTGCTGGCCATGAGGGGCAAGAGGGCAGATGACCACTACTCTATCAAGAGCTGAAACCAACTGGCATGTCATTCACGTCTTCCCAATGGAATCTGTAGGCTAGAGCTAAACTCTTTCAAAATAGGTATGCTGACATATTCCAGCAATCCAATTGTTGTCTGTGAGGGAGAGAGATGCCCGCTTCTTCCTGTTCTTTACTGTGGGGTCACTCTCAGCCAAGAGGAGGTTTGAAGATGAACAAAGGAATGTGCACACTGTTTCACACTGAAGAACTGTGTGGTGCAGAGTTAATCACTGGGTAAAAAAAACGGACACAGGCTAAGCACAAAGGGACGCTCAGTGGTGCCTGCAGGTGCGATCACTCAGACGGAACAGGCCCTGGACCCTGGTAAGCACCCACACGACAGTCAGGACAAGAGAAGAGTCTGTGCATCCCACGACAGCCAGTATGAAGACAGGAGGCACTCACCACTATTCCCTCGGCTCTCTGGGACCCTGGAGCCACCTTCCCAGCCTCCCCAAAGGAGGACGGTATCTTGAAAGTACATCTGGGAAAGGAAAACGGAAAGGAGAGGGTGTCGGGTGAAAACGCTTTCTCTAGAAGGAGTGTGAAGAAAAGTACCTTCTGGGAAACAGCAAGGTAAAGGGGAAACAAGCCAGGGGAATCTGGGTTCCTGCAAAGCAAACCAGATGAAAACAAATACCAGAGGACTTATAACCGCTCCCTTCTCGGCAACCAAATATGGAAACCATATTTAAGTTTACAAAAGCATTTTCTCAAGCTAGGGTGGGGAGATGGCCTCAAAAACACTAGGATGTGGCAGTTCACTTTACAGAAATGCAGACATGTAAACAGGAATATGGTGATATTTGTGCTGAAATGTGATTTTATTTGTATGTTAATAAATAAAGTTGCCCGGGGGTCAGAGCTAATAGCAAGCCATAGCAGAAGTTGGGTGGTGGTGACGCACGCCTTTAATCCCGATCACAAGACAGGCAGATCTCTGTGTGTTCAAGGATACAGCCAGCATGGAGACACACACCTTTAATCTCAATACCAACCATAGAGACCTAGAGGTCTGTATAGACAGGCAGTGACGAGGAGGTCATGTGGTTGGGTTTACAACCAATAAGAAGGCAGAACAGAAAGTCAATAAAAAGATAGACACAGGAAGTAGGCAGGTCTCTTTCTCAGGGGAAAGAGGGCAGTGGTAGCGAGGGGTAAGAAAGGATTTTTAGTCTCAGCTCTGACCTCTTGGGCTTTTAACTCTGCATTTGGCTCTGTGTTTCTTAGTTAATAAGACCATTACATGTACATAGGAATCTATTAAAATGCACAGCGGAGGGGTTAAGAGCACTGTTTGTACTTCCAGAGGACAGGGTTCAATTCCCAGCACCCACATGGCAGCTCACAACCATCTGCAGCTCAGGGGATCCAATGCCCTCTTCTGGTCTCCACAGGCACTGTAGAAATGTGGTGCACAGACATATGTACAGGCAAACCACCATACATGTAAAATAGAAGTAAATCTCAAAAATCATTTAAAATTAAAACGTAAAGCAGAAAATGAGAATCCAAACAATTCAGCTAAAAATGACCTCATTCAACGATATTGAGGAAGAAAAGAACCAAACAAAATCCTAACTCCAGCTTGAATTAAGTATCTTGAAACATCTAGAATCAAAAATTCAAAAACTAAGAAACTGAGAAATGGGCAGGTGAAATCTAGACACCAAGAAGATTTGACTGGACTTCTGAAAGAAAACACAGATAAAGCCTATTTGTAGGATTGCTTATGAAAAGTGAAGAATAAATTACAAGATATCCAAGAAAAATAGATTGAAATAAAAATGACAGACATTTAAAAATGACCAGAAAAAAACCTCATAGTATAAAAAAGGGCTGGAGAGATGGCTCAGCAATTAAGGACCACTGGCTGCTCTTCCAGAGGTCCTGAGTTCAATTCCCAGCACCCACATGGTGGCTCACAACCATTTGTAATGAGATCTGGTGCCCTCTTCTGGCCTGCAAGCATACATGCTGTATACATAATAAATAAACAAATCTTTAAAAAAAATAAAGATGCAAAAGGACCAGAGAGAAAGGTGAGGAAGGAAAGTGGACAAAAGTATAAATTCATATAATTACTCTTTCTGAAAGCAAAAACAAAAACAGTGAGCAGAACAAATATAGAAAGTATGATAGAAGAAAGCATTTCTAAGACATATGACTGGGGCTGAATGTGGTGGCGCACGCCTTTAACCCCAGCCCTTGGGAAGCAGAGGCAGGTGAATCTCTGTGATTTTAAGGACAGCCTGGTCTATACAGTGAGTTCTAGGACAGCCAGGGCCATGCAGAGAGACCCTGTCTCCAAAGCAAAACCAAACAGATGACTGACCTGAATCAAATATGAAAGTAATATGAGACAGGTGAGAAAAGCTGCCTCAACTCCAAGACATCCACTAGAGAACCCAGGAGTCTGGAAGAACACAGAGGACATTAAGCAAAAGAAACCAGCCTCCGATCAAGTTTTCAAAATCACAACTCTGTCCCTGCACATTACAGGTGAGAATGGAAAATGGCACAGCCACAAAATCATACAGTGGCTCCTCACAAAAAGACAGTGTGGTCCACCATGCTACTCTGAACATGGAAAGCAGTAACCTGAGCTATTGGAGTATTGGTTCCCTGGTGTGTATAACAGTATCAGTCACACTACTGAGGGGCAGCTAGAGATTATACCAATAACCTGTGTCTCTTCAAACCTCCACTCACTGACTTAACCAGACACGTGTGAAGCCTATCACACTAGTTATTATTGTGGTATGTACAAAATGACAATGTTCTCTTTCCCCTGCCCATCCTAAAGTCATTAATTAGAACTCTGTAAGAACAGCTGTCCCATCTCCCTGTTTATTGAATTCAGTTTTTATTTATGTCTAGATGGGTTCTTATCTTATCTTTGGGATTATAATATATTATCACTACGTTTTCTCCTGTTCAAATTATCCCAAATTTAAACCTTGGTTTTGGGTTGCCTCTGCTTTAACTAATAAATGTGATTCAGGTAACACTGTGCCACGAGCTTACATCTGAAGAACACTAGACAGCTTTCACTCTTGGGAATCCTAAGATCCCATGTATTAAGTTCCAACTACCCTCCTGGAGAGAACACACCGAGACAGGGGGCCAGGTACCACATGCTACACGAAGAGGGTGAGACCAGGGGTCCTTGCTGACCCCAGTCTTCCTGTGAACCCACTAAAGCACCAAAGGTGTCGAGAGTATTGTCTTGTATGGTTCAACATAAATGACCACAGTCTGGGTGAAGAGATGAATGAATAAGACTACAGTTTAACAAACATGGATAGGCACAGAGGAAAAGTAGTAACAGAAGTGGCTGGGCTCTGGGATTTTAAATAGAGTGATTAGAGAGAGCTCTATAAGGTCACAGAGGATCTGAAGGGTGTGAGGGAGTAAATACCTCAGACAAGAGGACAGTCTGAACAAAGGCTGCCAGAGTAAAGGAGCAATGGATGTGGCTGATGTGGTATATCAGGACAGAAGAGTGGAGATGAAGTGCAAACGTAAATATGGGGCAATGAGACCTAGTGCTGGAGGACACTGGTTCTAACTTTGATTAGGAGGAAAAGCCACTGGGAAAGGGTTTGGTAAATGGATGACATAATTTGATTTTCAGCTGAAAAGATCCTTGTGGTTTCTCTACCAACGTGTCTTGGGGCAGGGTAAGAGACCACGTGAAGAGGTCAAAAGACAACAATCTTCTGTGGAAAATGGTGACCCAGACCACAGTGGGAGCGGCAGGGGTTAGAGGTCATCGGATTTCCGATTTGGCTACTATAGACAGCAAAAACAAGAATCAAGGATGTCCCGAAGGTTGTGAGTCTGGGCAACCTAAAAAGGAGTCGCCAGGTCTCTGCTCCCCTTTAAAGAATTACTGGAAAATAGTAGGGTGGGGCACATCTGGAGAAGAGCTGGATGGAGTCCGATCAGATCCCGGTGTGTGGAAATGAAAGAGCCTTACTGCAGTGTGCAAGAGACAAGCGGGCGGAAAATACAATCACAGTCCTCAGAGTTAGGTGAGCACGTGTGGAACTAGAGGATTCCACAGCCAAACACAGAGAAAGTGAATCTGGAAAGAACAAAGGAGCGAGGCAAACTCAGACAGCCAGCTAGAAGTTACAGCTGTTAAACCCAGACCAGCAAGGCCCAGAGAAACAGGAGGAAGCCAGCTTGCTGAATTCCACATACTTCTCCTTTAACTGCCTTTCGTCACAGATGTTATGACTGGAGAGAAAAAGAAAACAACAAAAATCAAACTCCATATGGACTGAATATTAAATCATATTAACAAGTTACTAATGTTGTTGGGTGTAACAATGAAATTGTATACACTAAAGTTGTACATCTTTTAAAATAAAATTGTGTGTGTGTGTTAGAGATAAAGTAGGTGCCAGGAAAATAACTGAAAATTCCTGAAAACTATTCCAGCGGGACAAACAGTAAATGAGGACAGACCCAGGCTGGCTCCTGACAAGCCCTAGGCTAAACAAATGCTGAGGTAGAATGCAGGGGAAATGATTGGGGGTGTAATAAGTGAGCACACGAGGCCTGGATATTCCCTGTGAAAACTGTCACCCTTAGAACAAGGTGTTCTTCCTGGAGAAACCAGCTGGTTCTGATCCCCAGTGGGACACCATGAGATACAAGATGTTGAAAGACAGCAACAGATTCAGGATGCAAAAATGAATGAGACTCACCTGACGCTGGGCAGTCAGGAACCCAAAAGCATCCTCCCCGGCAGGAGGTACTGTAGGCAGCCAGGGCTCATGGGAAGCACAAGAACAAAACAATCAAAAAACAAACAAACAAACAAAAGGTTCAGCAAAGTCCTTGGAAATCCTCAAGCTCCAGTAGGGCACTGCACCTCTTCTTCCTTAAAGGCATTGGAAATGGACCTGCCTCAGAAGACAAGATGAAGAGAATTGTGGGTACTTCCTAGAAGGTAAGCTGGGATGGAGCCTAAGAACTCAGCCTTCCCTGGCATGCTGCTGGTGGGAGGTGTAAGATAATCCTCTCTGCCAGTAGTAATGAAAGTCAATACTTACTGGACACTTGGAACATTCCAGAGACTGTTCCAGGCAGCCTTCATGCTAGCCTTACAACAACTCAGGGTAGCTGCTACTATCATTTCACACATGAGACTGGAGACTCGATGAGATGAGGCCCTCGCCAAGGTGACAAAACTGTGAAGTGACAGCTTGTGAAACACTGCTGTGAAGACCAGAGTCTTTAGGGTTGTAAGGATTCTTAGTGTGTTCACTTTGAGATGAATCGTGGTTAGCCACAAGGTGGCAAGTGTTGGATCTGAGTGACAGGTCTTTGGAGTTTTTATCTTTCCATCTGTTTGAAATTTCTCCTTAACAAAACAGTAAAATGCAATTTAAAAGTGCTTGCAGTCACTAAGTCTTTGGATGCTTTAAAAAAAACTTGAGTAATGGGTCCCAGTTTGACCGCCTCCTTTCCAAAGCCCTAACTTGGAGTGGGGAACACTAAACTGAGACCCTAAGAATGGGTCAACACAGCCACCTGACACTCAGTGAAACCTGGACTTACTTGGCTGGGGCAGGGGGCCCTGACCACATTCCAGCAAAGTTGAGGAGTGGTAGGACCCAAAGACCACCAGCTCCCCAAAACACCAAAACAAACAAACAAACAAACAAACTCCAGCGGCACAGCGGCACATAGACCTAGACAGTCCGACCCCAACACCTAGTAAATATCACACCCCTAAAAGTCTCCTCACTTAAGCCACACCTTCGTGGGCACTTAGAGCACTAGCGAGCTCCTAACAATACCGCGATTTCAACCAACGCTGAACCTGTCCCCACCCGCAACAATCCTAACATAGAAAGGCCAAGCCTTGCACCCACATAACACTGGGGTTCACAGCTGAGGCTCACACCACTCCCTCAGAGGTGCGTGCCCACACCCCCAAGATAACACACCCGTGCCTGCGCATCCCCTCAGCTCCCAGATTCCAGCACTATTGCCCAGTGCCCAGGCTAGACCCTAGACCAGCCCTGCAGGATCTTCCTCTCGGTCCAGAACAGGGCCCCGCGGGAGAGGCACTCACCAACGCCACCAAAGAACAAGGTGCTGCTCCGGCCACCAGCTGAGGAGCGACCCCCACCCCACCCCAGCAGGCGCCCGGACTACATCACCCAGGATCCTCCAGGCGCAGGAACCACGCCTCCCGGCATGCCCCGCGCCACCCACTAGCTTGGATCGCCCGCAGCTCCCATTGTCCTCCGATCGGTCCGTTTCTGGCTGAGTGCTACGCTTAGCTGGAGTGTGAGCGCTGCGGCACCTGGAGGCCTTATCCTCCTTCCAAAGACCACGTTCCTAAATCGTAGTCATTCTCCTCTCAGCGCCTCTGGCCGAGGAACTACACTCCCCAGTGATCCCTGCAGCGATTTCCGCATCCGGTGCCATCTGCCACCCCTCTACGCCCCTGCCCCATACACACATACATACACTCGCCAGGGGAAATGGCGCCCTAGAGATGCTTCTTGGTAATTCAGTGGAGGAGCAGACTTCTTTGGGGTCTCTCAGTACATGCTGTGGAGTTGGGAACCTGCGAAGGTTTGAAGCCAGGGCCATGTATATTTTAGGCAAAAGCTCTAAGAGTGAGCTGTATTCTCTGCTCTCATTTTACTTTTTTCTTTTGAAACATGTAAGTTCCCCAGGCAGGACCTAGAAGAACCCTAATACAGAAGGGCTTGTGTATCCAGGAATTTTAAATCCTGAGATTCTTGTAGTTACTAAATCTTTGGATGCTTTGAAAAACTTAAAAGTGTGTCCCAGCTTGACTGCCTCCTCTCCAAAGCCCAGGAGACAATAAACTGAGACCCTAAGATTGGGTCAACATGGCTGCTTCACACCCAATAAAACCTGGGCTTATTTGGCTAGATCAGGTGGTGGTCACTCCCCCGTATTCCTCAGGCTGGCTGTAAACTTGTGGTCCTCTGCGTCAGCCTTGAGTAGCTGTGAGTACAGTCCTGCACCACCAGCTCTCATTCTGAGCCTTGGACAATCGCAGCAGAATGGGCAAAGCTGTTCACAGCATAGCAGGTTTTCATTATGCTCATGGCCATGACTCTGGATTTCATTTAGAAACTATAAAGGCTATGGGGTCTTCCTCAAAAGGACCTGTATAGAGAAGTAATGTTGGAGCACAGATGACCTCAGTTCAATTCCAAGCCCCCACCCATATGGTGACTCACAACCATCTGTAACTAGTCCCAAGAGATCTCACTCCTGGCCTGCACAGGCACCAGGCACACATGTGCTCTACGCACATACTTACAAACAAAATACTCATACACACAACATTTTAAAAAGAATTTTGTAATCAATTAGCAATTAAGAAAATGCTGTACAGACATGCCCACAGGCCAAACTGATTGAGGAAATTCTTTGATTGAGGTTCCCTCTTCTCAAGTGTCTCTAGTTGTGCCAAGTTCACAATAAAAACTAACCAGGACATGTTAGTCCCACAGATGAGAGGAGAAAGACCACCCACCCAAATCATCATGGCCAAATTAGTCAAAGCAAGGTTTTTTATTCATGTACATTGGCTGTCTCTCCCTAAAATCAGGGTTCAAGAGGTCAGCATTGGACATGGAGAAGATAAAGGTTTTTATCACTCAGGAGTGGAGGTTTCCAAATGGGGGACTTGGCAGGCAAAATAGGGGTTACAGAAGCAGAACTTAAGCATAACAAGTTGGTTATAACAACTTCCTGACAAAGACATGTATGCAAGGTTGTCATAACAACAGATGGTCATAATAACCTTTTGAAACAAAGGCATGATTGCTAGTCCTGGAACAGGCTGTACAGAACTATTTGTAGTTAAGGTTGCAGATGGAGCACAGCCCAATCCATGAGAAACAGATTTAATCATAAACAAGAGTGAATCTCATTCTTCTTTACTATAGGATGGCTTTTGAGCCTAAAATGGAAGCAGGCTGATTTCTTTAAATCACAACATTTTAATTTATTTTTCTCATGATCCTGATGCTCAGACTAGTCCTTATATAGCAACTAGTTTGTGAGGTCAATAAGGTCATAGATGGGATACAGAACTTTAAATGAATTGGATTTGTTATCCTTTCCCTACTCCCTCCAAATAACCAGTGAGATACCTTCAAAAAGGGTATCCTACAAAAAAGAAAGTAGCCACAATGTGCTAAAATTCATCTAAAGAATTAAGTTCAGGCAGTAGTGGTGTGCACCTTTAATCCCAGCACTGAGGAGGCAGAGGCAGGTGAATCTCTGAGTTCAAGTCCAACCTGATCTATAGAGTGAGCTCCAGGACAGCCAAGGCTACACAGAGAAACCCTGTAAAAGAAAAAGAAAACAAAAAAATTAAGTTAACTTGAGGGGCTAGAGATGTAGCTCAAATGGTAGTGGTCCTTGCCTAGTAGATCAGTTTTCTGTTGCTGTAATAAAAATACCATGGCCAATAGCAACATAAGGAAGAATGAACTACTTTGGTTTAGGGTTCCATGGTGGAAGGCATGGCATGGCAGCAGAACCTGGCTCAATGGTTTAAAAGTACTAATGGTATGTGGTTGGTATTACTGATTTTCTTGGAAATACACCATGAATGTTTCAGTTATCATTATTTTATCTTCTCTGTAAAGCTTTCTAACATAATTGTGTTAAATTATAGACATATTTATATTCTTTATACTGAATTAATGCATGTCCTTGTGCTGGCTGAATTGCTTGCAGTTACCTTTTAATTATATAAGTGTGCTTTGTCATATTGATATCTAAGACACATACTTTTAGAATGTATGAAATTTACTTTGGTTTTACCCTTCCTTACTTGATGTATCCATGTCAATTATGATCACAACACAATGTCATCCTTGGAGAGAGGATGGAGTCTGTCCCTGAGGAATCAGTTTTGTCATTATTTAGTTGAGTGTGTCTATGTTTTTTGGTGAGACCTCAAATAACTTATTTCCCTCTCATTGATTCCCATGGGAGTGGAGACTTCCCAGGGTTAGGTATCAGTTTATGTGGTTCTATGCCCATGTTTCTTCCTTAGCGATGAATTTAATAGGATACAGGTTTTGCTTCATTTGTGGGTGATAGAAACCGAACCCAGCCACATGCTAAGCTCATGCTTAACCACTTAGCTGTACCCACAAACCCCACAGGATACGTTTAAAATGTTGCTAAATGTGGCAATCATGGCACATGTAATTGGCACCTACATGCAAATGGAACAGAAAAGCTTTTAAGTCCCATGTTCCAAGTTGCTGGAAAAGGAATTATATGAAGACTTTTATGGGCTGAGCAGTGGCATGTATATGCAGGCTGTCACTTTCTGGTATATTTAGATAACTGTCTCTGAATAGTAAGTTTAAGAGTAAGTCATTTGGTTCTCAAAGGAGGATAAACCCAACTGTTGAATTTTCTTTCATACATTTGTAATACATTTTATCCATGTATTTTGTAATTCTCCTTGTTCCCAATTGTTGTTGTTGTCAAGTATATTGTTATTAGGGCACTAACACTTGGGCTGAGCTGCCAACCCATTACTTCAAACCCCAAATGATTCTTCATCAAAAGGAGATTATAACAGAAACAAAGAATTCCTGTGAGAACCACAATAAACCCAGTAGGGAGTATTAAATGAAGACTGACAGACTGGCTGTTAAGTGCTCATCCCATTATTTCAGGAAAAGCCCCCCAAAAGGGAAAGTAAATAGGCACTATTTCAGTCACAGCAGTCCTTACTTGTCAAATAATTAAGCAATGCCATCCCCTTCCACTGTTATCTATTAAGAATCAGGAACTTTGAATGACCTCAGAAGCTAGACTTTCTGGGATCTAATTCAATAATTTTTCTGGCCTCCAAAATGGAGTTCCTTTTAACTAATCTTATTAGCAGTTCTATGGAACTAGTGCTTGTAGGTGGAGTTTTTCATTGGGACTGCATCTTCCTCAATAAACATGAAGAGACTTAATTATAAATGATTGCTGATAGCTTAGCCTTGTTACTAGCTAGCTGGGCCAACATAAATTAACTCATATTTCTTATCTCTACTTTGTGCCAATACCTTTTTTCAGCATGGCATGTTCATCTTGCTTTTCTCTGTGTCTCCTGGTGACTCCGTGTGATTCTGCCCCTCTTCTTCCCAGCATCTTCTCAATTTGGCTCTCCCACCTAACCTCTTTTTGCCTAGCTATTGACCAGTCAGCTCTTTATTGATCCAATCAGAAGGCACCTTGGCAAAGACACATCTTTACAGTGTACAAAGAGATTATTCCATAACAAGTGCTAACTTTCAATTCTTCATGAACACAGTCTTCAAGTTTAACACACCAACACGAACAAACAGGAAACCTTTTGAGCTGTGTGTGGTAAACTCAACCCTTTCTTAAGTTCCAGTAGCTTTTGTTTCACATTAAAAACACAGACAAGAATACTTTTCATAAGGGCCAGAATTCTTATATCAAATTCATAGCATTAAATGGTTTTATTAATTCATAAAAAAAAATTAAGGAGGTCCTTAACCCAAATTGGGGGGGAGATAGCAGAAATAAATATAAGAGCACAAATAGGTTAGATAGGACTTACAGAAACTTCACCTTATCCCCCAGCTCACCTCTCCCTCGTGGCCCCATAACCTCTTTTGATAGTGCATGCTTTGCTTAAAAAATATGCCACACAGTGGGTAAATTTTTACAATAATATATAGGGCTAGAGAGATGGCTCAGCACTTAAAAGTGTGTACTGTTCTTGTAAAGGACTGGAATTTGGTCCATAGCACCAAGAGCAGACAGATGGCAACCACTTGCAGCTCCGGGGCAATGTGACACACCTCTGCCCTCCTTGTGTACATGCACACGAGACACACACACACACACACACACACACACACACACACACACACACAATTTTATATGTCCAAATGGTTATTTTTAATTGGAAAAGTATTTTTTCATAAACTTTAGTTCCTTAAGTTACAAGATCTGTTTTGTATTGTTTTGTTTGTGACAGGGCCTCACTATGCAGCCCA